CAGGAGGACTCCATGTCCATCAGGAGGATAGTGGTATTTCTGCCCAGGAGGGCTGGGCGTGGCAGGTACTCAGGGTCTCTGAGAGCATTTCATTCCTGTGAGGGAGTGGGCAGGAGGTGTTGCACCGGGACCAACAGGCTTTAGCGTCCTGCTACAGTGCACTCCCTGCTCAGAATGGGATGGGGCAAGTAGATACAGGTCAAACACCATAGTAAACGGATGCTATAGAACTGGTTCTTTCTTTCCAGCACATGGGCTTCAGTAATCCAGGTCATCAGGGATGACAGTGAGTGCCCCTATCTGTTGAGCTAAGGAGTTCCTCCACCTTAATTTTTGAGACAGTGTCTCCACTGATTGTTTAGGCTGGCTAGACAATGAGGTCCAGGGACCCACCTGCCTCTGTCCTCCCAGCTCTGTAGTCATGGACTACAGGACTACATCCATCCCATGGGGCTTCTTACACGGACACAGAAGATCAGAACTAAGCTCCTCATGTGTGAGCATCTCTAACTGAACCTTCTTCCCAGCACTCTGATTTTTTGTAAAATACAATCACTAGGGGAAAAGACTAAACATTTTTTTTTCCAAAATGCTCTATCAGTGTTTGAACCGTGGCCAATAGTGGGTGAGTTTCACTTTGGGCATCTTGACTGTACTTTCCATAATGCATATAAGAAAAGTATTTACTTAGGAAAGAAACGGGCAAACCTCTTGACCCGCAGCTCCATTAGAAGGAATCTACTACAGAATATGTAGGAAGAGGAGTAATAAAAAGAATGATCATGCTTTTGTAAAAGAAATGGCATTTTTGTTAATGTACAGGCAAAAATGCCTGGAAGAACTCAATGGACTGTTAGTAGCTGACGATTTCTAAATGTAGGATGAAGGAAATTCTGTTCTTCTCTTTGTCTGATATTTTTATTATTTATTATTTATTTTTATTTTATGTGCATTAGTGTTTTGACTGAAAGTATGTATGAGGGGAGGGTGTTGGATCCCTTGGAACTGGAGTCACAGAGAATTGTGAGCTGCCATGTGGGTGCTGGGAATTGAACCTGGGTCCTCTGGAAGAGCTGTCAGTGCTTTTAACCACTGAGTCATCTCTCAGCTCCCTGATTTTTTTTAAATGAATGCAAGTTACTTTATAATTTGTTTCAAATGCAGACAAACCACTCACTGAGTCTCTACCACTTCTCCCTGAGTACAGTCTGGCTGGGGTGGCTGCGTTGGGGTGACCAGTGAGGTACTTCCTGGCAGCCCAGCTTCCAGGTTAGCTTCTCTGGGGTAGAGTTCTGTTTCTGGTCCCTAAGATTTCCCCACACTTGAAGACTTGGTGATTACATGACCCCAACCAGCACCTATTTTCTGGGACCCCTTCTTGTTTGCAGCCGGCAGAAGTGATCTCCATCTTAAGACACACAACTGTGTGATACCCAAAGCGCTCCAGTTCCAGGGCAATGGACTCAGCTATGGCCCAAGGGCTGTGACTGCCATTGTATTCGAAGCCATCTTCTACCTCAGGAGGAGGCCCCTGGGAACTGCTGGGCTGTAACCTGTGAGCATCATCCCATACTGGGACGCTGGTAGGAGTAAGGGCTGAGGGTCAGGCTGGCTTGGTTGACAAAAGTTCTGGTTTTTCCAGCCTGTCTGACAACGGAGTGGAAGCAGCCACTATCTGCACAGTATTATACCCAAACCCTATTGTCATCTTTATCCCACATGCTTGCCACAGTGCCTGAAACCCCATCTTCAGCTGTCAGTCTTCTGGGAGATGTCTCTATTATAAATATGCGTGGGTTGGAGATGGATGCCTCTCAAGTCATATACCAGTTGTCCCCCAGAGTGCCCATCCATGCTCAGTATCCGCCCAGAGGATCCTCTTTACTGCCACTCCCATGTCCTTCACCCTTGGAGTGCTGTAGTCCCACACTCTGACAGGCAGGTCTCCTCTCTGGACCTTTTTTACATGAAGTTCCCTCCCCACTTTATCCCTGCCCCTACCATGCCAGGCTCCCCCTTGCTTCTCCTCTGCTTGTCTGGGCTGGGGTCTTCTTAGCTGGCTTTGTGAACCTCCTGGAATCAGGACACAGAGATTCTGGTCTCGGCTCTTCCCTGTGCTGCAAACCTTGAGCTGTAAACTAACCCTCTCTGGGAGGTCATAGGGTCACTCAGGCTCTTTCAGGATTCAGACTCAGTCACACCTAGGCCCATTGTTTGAGGGGGGACTACGCTGGGACCTGGCCCTTTGTGCCTTTAATGTCAGCTGTCATGCAGGCTATGCTTGTGACATCAGGACAGGACTCCCCGAGGCATCTGGTCCAAAGTGTCAATGCTTTCCTCATTCCACCTGATTCCTAGGGTAAGGGAAGAACACTTTATAATAATAAGAAAAACGACAGAACTGTCAAAAGCTTGACATAAAAACTCTGTGTATGTTGTACGTATGCATATGCGTGTGTGTTTGCCATGTGTCCAGTGTGGGCACCAGAGGCCAAGGCTACGGGTGTATCGCTCTATTGCTCACCATCTTGGTTTTGAGATAGGGTCTAATAAACCCAGACCTGTTTGTCTTCACCAGCTCCCCTTAGTGCTGGGCTTGCCAACGTATGCGGATGCACCCATCTTTTTATTTGTGACCTGCAGATCCAAATCCACTTCCTCATGCTGCACAACAAGTGCTTTGCCCCCTGAACCATCTCCCCAACCCCTGGAAGACTTCTGTGTTTAGGGTAAAAAGCCATTTGTATAAAGGTAGAATAAAAACAGGAAAATAAACACATTTAAAAAGAAAGGCATTGCTCTGTCTCCTGATATTCCTGTGTACCCCACTGTTTTGCTCTCCTCGATCCCTCCTCCAAGTGGTCCAGGATTCACAGAATAAGGACCCGGTGGACAGCTAGGATCCAATTCAGCACCGTGGCCAGCGCTGCACTGCCTCCCCCTCCCCCAGGTCTGCACCCCCCACCCCAGCCTTCACACACCTCCCATTATTTAAGCTTGCACTCAGGTCTTTGCAACTGACTTCCTGGGGGTGATGACCCAGTTCTGAGCTGTGCTGGTGGTGACTTGGGGATGTTGAGTAGAGTCAAGACTTGGGAGTCAAGACTCGGCAGGAGGAGGGTAATCTGTCCAATGTGTGAGCAGTCAGCCTTGTGGGATGGCCTCCCTGGCAAGAGGGAAGGCCTGTCCCCAGAGTCTCTGAGGTGAGCTGTGTACTGCCAAGAGACTTTATCTTTGTTGTTTTCTGTCTCTGCCACCACCCCAGAGAGAGGGACAAAGAGATAATAGCCTAATTTGTTGGGGCTCCAGTGTCCCAAGTTGTGGGACCCAACATTTGACTTACCCTGATAATCAAGTAGATCTCTAAGCTCTCCCCAGTAGACATGGGGAAACTGAGACCAGTGAGGATAGGGACCTGCTCAGAGTCACACAGTAGGCTTTATGAGCCCATCTTTGAGCCATAGAGGACCCGTGGTGTAAAAGCCCAGGATCCTAGTTCTGGTGGCTGCCCCATCACTGAGTCATCCTCAGAGTTGAGAATGGTCCCTCCAGAGAGGCCCAATGGAGTGTGGCCTTAGTGCTTCCAGCTCTGCCAAGGAATAGCTGTGGATCCCCTGGGCAGCGTCGTTTCTTGGCTCTAACACTGAGATAATGACACTATCTTCATGGGCTCCTCTTTGTGGTTAGATAAAGTGGAAAATGTACTAGCACTTTGCTTACAGACTGTATATGGGGACTCGGAATGGGCTTGAGATAATCAGTCCTTCCTATCAGTTTCCCCTTCAACTGTGTTTTCTGTTGGAAAATCCCAAACTCCCTCCCTCCCTCCCTCCCTCCCTCCCTC